TCGCGGTTCGCTCTTTGAATCAGAACGTTCGCAAATATACACTGAAAAAGCACTCAAAAAGGACAAAATTTGATTGGTCAATATTTTCCCACTGCATTTCGCGTAGCTATTTGTGTGACACGAAAGTTCTAAATCAAACTAATTACTCAATTTTGTGATTACACCCGCACGCTAAATAAAACAATGGCACCATCGTAAGTATTCTTCTTTGTCATTGCTTTAATAGTCAGTATACCGAGTTTAATCAATAAAAGATTGTACAATGAACAACAAAATTCGGAAACGAGTACTATAGATTTGCTTTCAGACCACTGAACAGATTGACCTATATAATAGCGACGCGTCTTCTTTGGTCTACTGCTCAGTTGTTTGTGGGTTTTCAACGTAACTCTATAATGTAATTTGAAGATGAATACTTTTATTCAGTTGTTGCATCGATGTCGCAGTTTGTAGTGCGGTAAGATTGGCATGAAAGTATTGAAAGTCGAATGGAATTGTTTTTTCCAATATGGCGACTAGTCTACCGATCACGTGACATTCTCTTCCGGAATATTTTCTCACTTTTCAATCATCGTTTTCACCGCGCTATTAATTAATACAATGAAAAAAATAGCTGTTATATTAAGATTAATGAGAGATCAATCGTTTCTAATAATTTTTTCTGTACTCTTGTACGGGAATATGAATGAATATATCGTTTGAAAAATAGGTGTGAAAATCCCCATGTTAAACCTATGAGGGAAAATAAGGAAGTATAAATTTGTTCCTCCGCGAACTGCATCATGGGAAATATTTTGCCCTTATAAGGAAAGATTTTCGCGTCTTCTCTTTTGAAGAGGGAACAACGATTTCGAGAATTGATTCTACTTTTTGAATCCTATAATTTTTTGATGGTTTTGTACTTAAAAGTCTCGTCTTTCTGCTCATCTAAATCAATTTTCTACATTATTTTTTTCCTTTGATATATCACTTGTTTTCTGCAAGCAACAGCTCAAAGTTGCCTATTCAAACTAATGTTAAAAATATCAACTTTGGCCAACACCTACCAAATTAAAATTCCAATATCTTCTTTAAACAAAATAATGTACACTTTTCTTCAAGTGATATTGTTTCATAATACCCCATTGATTCTCACTATGAAAAAAGTTTTGAAGTAAAAAAGTAGGAAAAGATAGAAAATATGAAGGAAAAGTACACTTAAAAATGCAAAAAATATATATTTTAAATTAACTGATACCTTTAAAATAGTAACATAATGACCAAATAAATATGATTCAGCAAGTCTTTAATATCTTAAGATAATTAGGCAATAGGTTTAAACAGAGAAATGTAGGTAGAAATCATAGATTTTAAGCTTACCAGACAACATGACATAGCCTTCAAACACCACAGCCATATTTTCTAAGACAGATTTTATTACCACTACGCATGTGCAAGAACACCAGATGTGTGATTAATGACTTTCTACCAGTGACAAGCGAACTGCCGCATTTATACTATGCAGGTTTACAGTGTACAAACAAGATGTTAGACAATGATGTCATACTGGGTGTGATAATAAATCATCAAGACAGTGATATTGCTATTGCTAATTCTCTGGTACAAATGGCAGGTCAAATGCCTGTAAAAGTTATTAATACCAGTACTGAGCCCCAGTTTCTTAGGAAGGGGTCGGTTTTAGGGCAATTTGAGATGATATCCTTAGATGTCGATGAAATAGTTGATACCAAAAAGGCAAAGCCTGGTAAGAATGTGCGAGTAAATTTAGTCAATAAATCAGATACTTTGAAAGCCATACCAGAGCATATGGTGGATCTTGTTGAAAGGTCTACGGAAAATCTAGACTGTGATCAAAAAGCAATTGTTACAAAATTGCTAATCGATTATGAAGACATTTTTACTACATCTGATAGTGATTTAGGTCAGACAGATGCTGTGAAACACACTATAAATGTGGGTGATTCGAGGCCTATAAGACAGAGGCCGCGGAAAGTCCCATATCATCAGAAATCTGAAGTTGATAGACAAATAAATGATATGCTTGAAAGAGGTGTTATTGAAAGATCTCAGAGTGCATGGAGTTCACCCATCGTTTTGGTTAAAAAGAAAGATGGTACTCTGTGCTTTTGTGTGGATTATAGAAAGGTCAACAATGTAACATATAAGGATGCATATCCTTTACCATTAATTGATTCTTGTTTAGATTCTTGTTTAGTTGATGAGAGAGATCGGGACAAAACTGCGTTTTGTACAGGCAATGGACTCTATAATTTTAGAGTAATGCCTTTTGGGCTGTGTAACGCCCCTGCTACTTTTGAGAGATTGATGGAAGTTGTTATGTCAGGGCTACAATACGAAGAATGCCTAGTCTATTTAGATGACGTCATAACTTATGCCCCTTCTTTTGAGGCTCAAGTTGAGAGATTGAGTCATGTCTTTGAGAGATTCAGGAAATATACACTCAAATTAAAAGCCAAGAAGTGCTTTCTTTTCAGAAAAAGCGTGACATTTCTAGGGCATATTGTTTCAGAATCGGGAATTGCACCTGACCCAGCTAAGATAGAGTGTATTGAAAAATGGCTTCACTTGAAAGATGCATCTCAAGTGCGATCATTTCTTGGTACATGTGGGTACTATAGGAAATTTGTGCAGAATTATTCTGAAATAGCAAAGCCTTTGACTCTTTTGACAGAAAAGAAAGAACCATTCAATTGGTCACCTGCTTGTGAAGAAGCATTTGTGAACTTGAAAAGTCGGTTGAAAAGCGCACCTATATTGAGGTATCCACAATTTGATAAAAGTTTCATATTGGATACTGATGCCAGCGATTGGGCTGTTGGTGGAGTTTTGAGTCAGGTTCAAGAAGGCAATGAAGTTGTTTTTGCTACGTACAGACCATGCTGCATTGCACTGGCTGTTCAATTTCAAAGAACCTGAAGGGCAGGTGGCACGATGGCTAGAAATACTCGGAACCTATGAAATTGGAAATTCAGCACCGTCCTGGTAAAAAGCACGGGAATGCTGATTGGTTAAGTAGAATACCCTGTAAACAATGTGGGATAAGCGAAGAGAGTGATCTATTCTCTGAAACTAAATCTGATGTCCTGAAACAACAGGCAAAAGAACATAGTAAAAATAAGAAGCATGGTGATGTGATAAACCATGTGTACATAGTCAATACAACTGATAATCATTCCGATAGTTGGATTGAAGGTTGGACTCGCAGTTCCATTCTGGAAATGCAGTCAGAAGATCATAACATAAAACATGTCTTACGTTGGAAGTCCTCTGGTATGGACCGACCAACAGGAGAGAAAGTATCTATGAGATCACCAGCAACAAAAATGCTGCTGGCTGAATGGGAACGTTTAGTCATTCATGATCAGATTCTATATAGAAAATGGGATTCTGATGATCAACGTCAAACTAAGTGGCAACTAGTGCTACCAACATGCTTGAAAAGTGATGTATTATATGCTCTGCACAATTCAAAGACTGCAGGACATTTGGGTATGGCAAGAACGTTAACTGAAGTGCGGAATCGTTTCTTCTGGTATCAAATGAAAGAAGATGTTGTCGATTGGGTTAAAAAGTGTCACCAATGTGGATCCAAGAAGCATCATGGTGGTAGTAAAAATGCTCAACTTCAACAGTGTACTGTTGGAGCACCTCTGGAGAGGCTGGCTGTTGATGTTGTAGGGCCATTACCAGAAACATATTCCGGAAATAGGAATATACTGGTGCTTACAGATTACTTCACTAAATGGGTTGAATGTTACCCAATGCCAAATCAGACAGCTGTAACTGTGGCAAAGAAAATAGTCAATGAATTTATCGTACGATTTGGAATTCCTCGTGAAATTCACTCAGACCAGGGGTCGAACTTTGAATCGATTTTGTTCAGTGAAATGTGCTCTCTTCTGGATGTAAAGAAAACACGTACGACAGCGTTTCACCCTAGATGTAATGGCCTTGTAGAGAGGTTTAACAGAACCATGGAGACGATGTTGAGCATGTATGTACAAAAGAATCAGAGGGATTGGGACGAACATTTACCGTGTCTTTTGATGGCATACAGAGCACCTCAACACGAGAGTACCAGACAAAGTCCAAACATGTTAATGCTTGGAAGAGAAGTGGAGATGCCTATTGATCTGCAGATTGGTGCACCACCTAATACAACAATGCCCTCGAATGCATATGCCTTTGAACTTCGACAAAAGATGGAAGAGGCGCATCAAATTGCAAGGGACGTTCTAGGAAAAGCTGCAAATAGACAGAAGAAGAATTATGATGTCAGAGTCCAGCCAAGAACCTTTGAAAAGAATGATCATGTTTGGGTGCATTGTCCTGCTATCCCAGTTGGTAACACTAAGAAACTGAGTTGTCCATGGAAGGGTCCATGTGTAGTAACAGAGAAAATGTCTGACGTGAATTACAGAGTTCAGATATTAAGCAGTGATAGAACTCCAAAAGTTGTGCACATAGACAGACTTAAGAAATATTTCCCAGATGTTCAAACTAACAATGAAAGTATGAGTAGCGAAAATATGGAACAAGAGATAGTCATAGAAGAACCAGATCATCAAGAAGATGAAGACGATACCCAACCTATCCTTAAAACAAGTGAAAGGGGAAGGTTATGGAAGTCACCAAATAGATATGGAGATTGGATTTATTAGATCCATTGAAATAGTGTTTATTAAATATGCTGTTAATAAATATTGATTTATAATGACGCATGTTTATCGTTGTTGTTGTTTTGTTTGTTTTTTTGTTGTTTTTTTAAACAAATCTGTTCTGGGGAAGGAGGATTTTGAAGAGGATGTGGGGAGAATGAGCTGTCAGGTTATTGTAAATTTAGTATTAAAATTTATGTAGTAAATCCTGATGTGATTAAATAGGCTCTGTAAAAGGAAAATATAAAAAAAGTAATAATTAAGTAATAATAAATAAATGATAGAGAGATATCATTAATAACTGCCATGTTATATTTGCAGATGTTTCCCTGTGAATCCTGTGACGTGAGCTTCTCACATTCAAGTAGCCTGAGCAGGCATAGGCGGGTCCACCAAAGGACAGTCAAGTTGTTTATATGTGATGTATGCAATAGACGTTTCACAAGGAAAGAAGATCTCTTTAACCACAGGCTCAGGCTTCATAAGTTGTCAAGAGAACATCAGTATGGTTTTGAAGTTGTCCCAAGCAAGTACTACGTAGAACCGTTGAAGAGAAGGTCCGAGGAGGAGGAGGAGGAGGAGAGTGTAAAAAGGAGGAAAGTAGAAGATGAGAGAACGAAGGAGAGAGAAGAAGCAGGAAGTGGGAGACGTAAAGAGATGGAGTTCAAGGAAAGATGCAACAAGTTCGATGAGGAGATGCGAGGATTGGAGCAGAAGTTGGCTGAGGGAGTGAGGGAGCATGAGCAGAAGTGTAAGGAGCAGGTGAAGAGGGTTGATGCGGAGAGAAAGCGAAGGAGGATGGAAGTGGAAAACAAGAAGGTGGTGGAACAAAGACTGATACAGGCGGAAGAGGATTTGGGAGAGGAGCCAGGGGTGTCGATAGATTTGGTTGGATTGCCTGTTTATTCAGAATCGCCAACACTAGTTCGTCTAAAGAGAAACCCAAGGCAAGAAAGCAACTTGCAGAGAATGATTAGACGAACGAAGGAGACTGAGAAAAGAGAGGAGAGGAAACGGGAGACGATGAGGAAGGAGTTGAGAGAAGAGTGGGAGAAAGAGCAGAAAGCGAAGGAGAGTGTAGAAGGTGAGATAATTTAACTAATAAAAGTAATATACATAGAAGGTATATAATGAATAAGTAAACACTAATAATATGTGAGAGATATTGAAATATATGAACTCTGTTGTAGCGAAGGAGAGTGTAGAAGTGGAGGATGATGATGGTGAATGTGGCGATAGAGGTGATGGTTCTGGTGACGATGAATGCAGGGATGGACAGGGTGATGGCAGTGAGAGCAGTGGTAGTAGTAGTGACAGTGATGGTAGTAGTGGGGACAGTGATGGTATTAGTGGGGACAATGATGGTAGTAGTGGGGACAGTGATGGTAGTAGTGGGGACAGTGATAGTAGTAGCGGTGAAAGTGATGGTAATAGCGGTAGTGATGAGGACAGTTGTAGTGTAGGGAATGTTGTAGACAGCAATTTGAACACTAAGGACGTTGCCTGTCAGGCAAGACTACAATGGGATAGACCAGAGACCTCTAATAGAAATTGTATTATATTGTAATAAAGGAAAATTGTAAATATGTTAAATATATATATTTATTCTTTTATGACAGATGTGAGGACACATCTCATAAAGAAGAGGGGAGTAATGTGACGATCGTGGATCGTCATTTTTATGAATGAAAATCTGAAGTCCTTTTATACAATAAGATATGATATATATAATAAATCGAACTTATATCAGTGATCAAAGTTACCCCTGTAATGTAAAGAAACGATAAATTATACGTAAATGACATGAAGTCTAGTATAAAAATGAGAAAACTTACAAAATGTTCCGAGAAATCTTTAAAGGAATATTCCTTGCCAGACCCTTTCTCTCTTGATATGGTAGCTATAATCATATATATAGTTTCCATATTTAGCAAAACATGGGAAAATGTTTTAATATGGTCAATATTGATCATTTAAAAAGCTAGTGCTTATTTCCAGTGAGCTGCCATCTTTTAAGATTTCTTGCAGGAAGTGATGTCATCAACTCTCAACTTCTATAACCTTGCCCATAACAGTATAGGAAAGTAGCACAAAATCACTTCTAGACAAGTGACCATTACTTTCTGTGCAAAAATATTTTCAGGGCTTGTCAACTTAGAATAAAAGAAGAGATTTTCAGAAGGATTAAATAAGATACAAAGTTGAAAAAGAATATTTAGCTGGTTTTGTAATTCTTAATAGCTCCTCACCTAATGCTATATGCAAAGTTGAGAGTCGATGACATCACTTCCTGTGTGAAATTTTAAAAGATGGCAGCTTACTGGAATTGAGCATCACATTTCTAAGTGATCAAATTTGACCATATCAAAACATTTTTGCGTGTTTTGCTAAACATGGCAAGCATATATATGGTTATAGCTACCATATGAGGAGAGAGATGGTTTGGCAAGGAATATTCCTTTAAAATTGGTTTCTTCTGCTCTGACCGGAAGTAGATTATTAATGGTGAAACGAAATCAAAACTTATGAGAAGCGTTAAGCTGTTTCTGAATATTTGATAATGTTGCAATTAAATGCAAGGATCTTAAATGATTTATCAGAATATAATTGAAGCTTTAATTTGGAGTAAATAAGTAAAACTAGTGATATATAGATTATTTCCGTTCTGCAAAAAGTTTGCCATTATAGAAGCGCGAAGTTTGAATATGACGTAAAACAATGGTTTGGATTCCTATATAAGTCCGTGTCCTGGTTACGACCGCCATTCTCGTGAAGAATCGGAAACCACTGACAAGACTTGTGGTAAGTTAGCCGAGCTAGCCATTTTAGCCGACTATTGAGCTATTGTAAAGGTATATTAGCCGATGTTGCATTCTCCCTCTATATTGGGTTGTTCTAGGGTTACAATTAGCCGATTGTTTTGGAGTTTAGCCTGGTGTTTAGCCGGAAATTCCACAACATTAGCCGGCCGATCAGGGAAATTAGCCGAATCTATGGGTCAATTCAGTAGAACAGAGCAATTAGCCGAATTGTGTTGATTAGCCGAATTGTGTTAATTAGCCGAATTGTATTCTATATATTTCCAGGTTTAAGGTTATGTTATTCTTGGTTAGCCTATTGAAGCACACAAAAAGTCTTCATGGTAGCTCAATCAAGTGATTAGCCGAAACAAGTTGCTGAATTCTAATTGTTATAAACATTGTTCTGCTAGCCGAAAGAGTTAGCCGAACATTATAAATAATCCTGTTAGCCGAAGCTGGTTAGCCGAACTTAATATCATAAACAACCCTGTTAGCCGAAGAATTAGCCGACAGATTAGCCGACGAATTAGCCGACAGATTAGTCGACGAATTAGCTGAATTTATTAGCCGAACCATTAGCCGAAGAGAGTTGTCATTGTTGATGAAATATTAGATCACAATCTATTGAATTAAAGTGAACATTGACACTAAATATATTCACATAGTAAACATACCAATAAACATTCATTTCATTAACGTATTGGTGCATCTTTATGGACTATCGTGCTTAATAAATATTAACTTAATTCTCTAAAACACGTAATATTTCAGAGTCGTATTTATTGTAATTTATATGTGTATTAATAAAGTTTAATAACCGTAATAGTGCTTGTTTGTCACTGAAAAGACCACTGAGTAATAAATAGCAAGTATATATATATGCTACACATGTAATGCTGTGTAAATCCTATTTTACTATTATATAAATTGTAATCCAGGATATAATGCACGTTTTGTATAGTTTTATTTATCTATATAATCATGGACGAAAAAAGTCTTATTTACATGCTTAAATTTCTTAAAAATGATCAGCATTACTACTAATAATAACATTTTGCATGTCTGAGTAAGTATTTTGATCTACATTTAGGATAAATGTTGTTTTATTCAGTTTTCATTTTGGGTATGACTTCCTGTCAAAAACAGTGTTAAAAATGCAGGGCTCAACAAAAATTGTCAATTGGAAAATGATATATATCCTTTGATCAGCTGTTTTTGGCACATGAACTCATCCTACTAGAAAGGTAAGAGCATTTTCTTGAGACATATGGCTCGAAATCTCAAATTCTCCTTCTAAGTCTTTGAAAGACACTTTAAGATAGTGTTGAACAATTATTCAAAATAGCAAGACCAAGTCTGACAGAACAAACTGAGGAATACAATATAGTATATAAAGAAATACACGATAAATACAATTTACATTCTTAGATCTGAGTTATTTCATAAATATGAATGTTTCAGTAAAACCATCTGCAATAAACCAAACATATGTTCACAAAATATGAGCAGATCGGTGACGGGCGAACCATACTGTTACTGTATTGTAAAGATTGTGGGAGTTTGGAGAGGGGTCGCGGGACTAACTAGCAATCTAGCTTCATGTAAACTAAGTGCTCAAGAGGCTGTGTAAGTTTTGCACCTGGCCCCGCCCCCAATCTGCGTAAAGGTTATCAGTGGCTAATAACCGACTGAAGTTTTGCTCGGTCGGAACTGTACTAATATACCTTCGGACATATATATGTTTCTTGGTGAAGGCAGGTTTCGGTGCTAATGCCATCTGCGCTCTATAGAAACGGAAAGCAGGAAAAATAAGGTATGAAGTATGGTCAGTCAAAATGAAACAAACCCTATACTACCATACATTGTATAGAGGAACCGAGAAAGTGTTCATATTGGGAGGTGTTCAGATTGAAGAGGCTTTGGATATGAACGATTTATTTTAAGCAACTTGCTAACTATTAAAGGTGAACCTAATGTCTAATATGTATGGGACCAAGAATGATGAAGGACCTTTATATCTCGCCTATGTCTTATATTTGTTGAGATAACCTCGAAAACTGATACAACGTCATGAGAGCAATAGATACACGATATAAGATAGAACACCCTTCAAGTCATGCACAGTGAGAAACTTACATAAAACACAAGACAAGCACTTTTATTATCTCGAAAGCCTGTTACTATTGAGGCATAAAAGAATGCTAAAAGTCCATCCAGGAAGTCGTAAAAAGTGCAATGCTCGTACCATAGTTCATATCGCCGCTTTTTGTTGATGGAAATCTTAAATCATGATGTTGGATTTATTCAAATTGAAGTTTTATACATCAGGACCTTGTTCAAGACTCTTACGGTGACGAAGAAGTTGAATAGAATTATACTTTATGGTACCCTTATAAAAAATTCAACCTTGAAAGTCCGAATTTAAAGCATTTCCATCAATCATTGAATACTGATTGTTTCAACTACTAAGATCAAAGGAAAAACCATTGTACAATGATAAGCAATCATTGTGCAACCATTGCGTTCAACCAAGCAAAGTCAACTCTTTTTCAACGACTGCACAACCGTTTCTTTACAATCATTGTAATCTGCAACCATTGCAAACTGCAACCATTTCACATTGAAATGTAAATGGTTGCAATATGTCATGTTCACTAATGAGTTTATTGCCCCAGTCTGGATGCATTTCTCTTTAAGAATCCAATTTATAAGTAATTTACATCCTATTAAGGGTCATAAACAGAGGAGGGACAAAACATGCCCATTGAAATTAGTATAGAGCATTGTGATTGGTAACGCATTTTCTGCGTTGACCACTAGGAAACTCAGCTTATTTATGACCCCTAAAATGAAACTAACTGGGCTTAAGTGAAGGGCTGAATTTAAGCATAAATGAAGTCCTTTGAAGAAGGATGTTCTATTGCCAGCATTTATTATAATATTGGCAGTATTCAATAAACTATTGCCAGTATTCATTATATTATTGCCAGTATTCAATGAACTAATTGTTAGTATTCATAATAGTATTCAATAACTTTTTCCAGTATTCATTAAACTATTGCCAGTATTCATTAAACTATTGACAGTATTCATTAAGCTTTTGGCAGTATTCAGTTAACTATTGGCAAAATTCAACACAATATTGGCATGTTCATCAGCCATCCTCCAAAGCAGGTATCCAGAATCCGTACCTCCTTCCCCCTGCTATAACCAATTTGGAAGCGCTTGATTAAACTGAATCAGGTGATCTTAGTGATTTCTGTCCCTAATTAATATATAATGGGGTATGTTTATATAAAAATCTCATATTTCTATTAAAAAAAATCTATTAGAATAAAATGACTTTTAAAAAATAATAGATTATCCATATTATTTTATAACATACAGGTTTGAAAACTTTGTATACAGAATTTATATTTTTATAGTAATATGCTTTCTATATAGTAGCTGAGACATAATGCCCAGTCTGTAAGACTGATATGTAGGGTTTTTATTTCCTTTTATCTGATATGGCCAAAATGATGTATCTTTAATGTTAATTATGAAAAGAATTGAGCAAATCTCCAAATATTTAGTGAGAATGTTTTTCAAATGTATCAATATTATGTGTAGTTAACACCTCATATCAAGAGTATGACTCACTAACTTTAAAAAATACAAACAAGATAACTATTTTGATATTGACTGTATATTATGTGTGAAACACATTATTCACCACAGATTTAATTATCATGTTCTTTCTTGGCAAATATTTTTTATAATAATGC